CGGCGCGAGACGAAGGTCCTCAACGTCCTCCTCTTCGTCAAGGGGCCCGTCTGGCGAGCCCTCTTCGGCAAGGAAGCCGACAAGCTGGAGCAGGCCAACGACGACGACAAGACCTACTACGTCATCGAGAAGGAGCCCCTGGTCAACACCTACATCTCGGTGCCCAAGGAGAACAGCACCCTCAACTGCGCCGCCTTCACCGCCGGCCTGGTGGAGGCCGTCCTCACCGCCAGCGGCTTCCCTGCCAAGGTCACCGCGCACTGGCACAAGGGGACCACGCTGATGATCAAGTTCGAGGAGGCCGTCATCGCCCGGGAGAAGAGCTTGGAGGGGCGTTGAGGCATTCGGGGGCCTTGCTGCGGGGCCTCGGTCATGAGGGAGGCTCTTGGCTGAGCTTGGGGATGTTGGAGGTGGTTTGGGGGCCTCTACCACCATCCCTTGGTCCTTGAGAAGGTTCTAGGTCACTCTTAAGGACATTTGAGATGGTTTGGGGTCCTCACCACCATCCCTTGGTCATTGTGAAGGTTCTTCGCCGAGCTTGGGGATGTTGGAGGTGGTTTGGGTCCCTCACCACCATCCAGTGACCTTCTTGATGGCCCTTGGCCACCTTCAAGGACATTGGAGGTGGTTTGGGTCCCTCACCACCATCCCTTTGCCATTGTGAAGGTTCTTGGCTGAGCTTGGGGACATTGGAGGTGATTTGGGTCCCTCACCACCATCCGATGACCTTCTTGATGGCCCTTGGCCACCCTCAGGGACACTGGAGCTGGTTTGGGGTCCTCACCACCATCCCTTAGTCCTCACAATGGCCCTTGGCCACCCTTGGGGACGCTGGAGCTGGTTTGGATCCCTCACCTCCATCTCCTGTCCCTCCTGATGTCCCTTGGCCTCTCCTGGGGTCCCTTCGTGTCTGGGGACGTCACCTCCTGCCCCTCCCGGTGATGGATCTCGCTCTGCTTCGGGGACGCCGCCACTGTCCCCTGTCCCTCACTGCCTCCTGGGGCCACCCGTGTGGGTCGGTGGCCCAATAAACCATCTCCTGTCCCTCCTGGTGGTCCCTGCCTCTTCTCGGGGAGAGGGGGGACATGACACACGACACCCTGGGGTGGTTTGGGGCCCCGGGCGCTGTCCCTTGGCCCCCCTGATGGCCCACGATGACCCCTGAG